AGCTTATCATTACTAACCTCCTGTTCTGTGGAAAAATTAGTAAAGACATTACACTGGCTTAGAGAGTAAGAATTCTGCCTTCTAGTCACAGTTCTGCCATTTAGTACCTGTGTAGCATGGGGAAAATTACTTAATGGCTCTGCCTCAGTTTCCTCATTTGTAATAATTGTCTTCCTTACATGGTTGTTATGAAAAAAAGTAAGCTAGTATGTTAAATCTCATGATAAAATAAAAACAATTCTGGATAGATGCAAATTATATTACATTAATACTTGCTGAAACAAATATTTAGTGAACAAACCTTCATGCAGGGTATTGTTTTACTATAGAGTTAACTAAGTTGAACTGAATGTTAATCTTGGCAGGAATATCATTGTAACAAAACCACTATTATTATCATCACTTATTCTGAATCCTTATATAGAAGCAAAATGTAGTGTTAGTAAGATGGAATTCTATTTTCACCAAAGTCACAAATTATTCAGCTCCTGAGCCTAACACACTTGTTAAGTTGTATGTACCCCTAGTTTCCACTTCAGATGATGCTATCATCTGTGGATAAAGATTTACATTCATCTCACTTGATCTCTAAATTGATCTGAACTTGAATCCAGACCTTTGGCTAATGGAAACTTTGATGGGATCCAGTTGGCAGTCTCAGTATTTGCACACCCTTCCATATCCACAAAGGTTTTATCATTTCCGCTTGAGTTCTAGCCTAAAAGAATAATTGGAAGGATATCGATTTTTAAATTCCCAAGGAAAAGTATAATTAACAGCTGCCCAATTGTGGCTGCTGTTGCAGTCTGCAGGGCAGATATTTTACTGAGAGAGAGGGCCTCCAGTGAATCCCCTGGCTCACACCAATATATCTCGTCTATCAACAAAAGTGAATACTTCTTCAAAGTATCTTAATCATGAAATCATAAAGTAATTTCCATCCAAGTCTTCCTTCTAGGCTTTCATCAGTCTATCATTTCTCCTGTCCGTTATATTGCCAAACTATATGACATAAATTCATTTTCCAAAGCCCTTTTCCTCACAAGTGAAATAAATAAAAGCATTCTAAAATTTGAACTTACATTTATTTCCTTTCGATAATTTCTTTTATTTGTGTTGCCATTGTCTTTGTCCTTTGCAATCACTTGCATTTCTTTATATCTGTCACCTTCCTTGGACTCTGCTTCCTTCCTTCCATAAACAACATCAAGGGAAAAAGAAAAAAGTAAAGCTGAATTTAATAGTGGGTCAGTAGGGATTTGAATCTTTTATTTACTACCATAATCACAAGGCAGAATTGCTTCCTTCAAATTACACTAATAAATTATCAGCTATTATGCCACAGTGAATTGGTGCAAGGTTGATGCTGAATAAAGTTTTAGAGGGGCAGGGGAACTTGTAATTTATATGTCACATGTGGTCTTGACATACCTGCTTGTCACTCGCTTGAGTAGCTATAGAGGAATGGAGTTAAAGAGTGCTAATATACCCACAGGGACACCAAAACGTCTTTCTCGAAAATGTTGTGATGCATCCAGAAACAGAGCTTGTAAGTTCCAAGCCCATCCCCCTTCTTCCCCCAGTTACTCAGTTTTTCATTTTCAGCTTCAGAGGACGCAGTTATTTCCTTTTAGGAAACAGAAAAAATAAGACCAAATAATGAAGCATACATGTTTTTAGGCACAAGGGATTATTTCTGTCCTCCAAGGGTAAATCAGTAACATAAACCCACACACACATGCACAGCATTTCATAAGCAATTGCATATTTAGCCCTTTTCAGAGAAGCAATGTGAAATTAAATCATAGAATATGGACGAGAGATTGTCTAAATCTATTTTCCTCACTAAGCCCATCATTCAGTATATATGAAGACTATTAAGCTGAGGACTCATTATTCATCCTGCAGGTAAGCTGACCCTTAGGTGTGCAACTCTTTCAAAATAAGAATAATGTATTTGCATTGTAAGCGAGGAAAAAAATTAATGCATACAGTCATTGATGCTAGCTCTGGCATGAAGTATTTCAGCAAAAAGTTAACCAAAGTCAAGAATAAAAAGACATGCCACAGTGTGGGAGAGTGTATTTGGAACTCATAAATGAGGAAGTCCTCCAAGTAATTAAGAACACTACAGACTGCTTAATTTTAAAAATGTACAAAAGAATTAAATGGACAATTATGAGAAAAGAAAGCCAATGGCCAATAAACAAATTAAAAGCTTTTCACCTACTGGCAACTTGGAAGATAAATACTAAAATTGTGATGTGATTTTCAATATACACTCCATTGGATCAACAAAAATTACACTGCCTTACAATGCCATAGGTTTGTGATCACATGGAACTAAGAACTCTCATATATCGTTGGTGGGGATGTAAACCACATTTTGAAAATGATTTAACATGACCTGTTAGAGTTGAAGATATGTAAACCCTAAGACAGTATTAGATATATACCCTAGAGAAATTCCTATCCATTCGTGCCAGAATACAAGGACAAGAAGGTCGGTAGCAGCCTTATGCATGATGCCTCCAAACAAGAATAGCCAAAATGTCCATCACAATACAGGGGACATATAAATTGTGCTGTGCCTGTAGAATGGAACACTAAATAGCAACAAAAAGAGGTGAGCCACAGCTACACAAAACTATATGGATTAGTCCAGGAGTCTACATTACGAATATTTAATCACTGGTATGATATTGGCTTGGAACAAACAGAAAACATGCCAATAATTGACAACTCCTATAGGTCTGCTGGAAGAATAACAACAAGCCCTGGATAAATTTCTGAAACATTATGTTGCTAAACAGAATGGAGTTGAATAACAAACATAATTAAAGTTTATTTGCTTAGGGAACTATAATGACTAGTAAAATTAAAAATAAAAGCAAGGAAATAATTTCCGTAAAAGGCAGGGCAAGTTTACTTAGAGCTGGGGGAGTGGGTTAATAAAGGAGATAAGACCTAAGTACCACATGATGTGCATGGTAGAAGGACTTTTAAAGAGCTCATAGTCTTTTGTTTCTTTACTTAGGAAGCGTTGCTATAGTCATTCATTATTTAGCTATTGTCACAACTGTATGTGTATGTTTTAGGCAATTTTCTATGTATATAAAATATTTTACAATAAAAACAAAGAAATAAGCAAAGCAACAGGGGAAACCAATGTTATATATATACATGGGTGGATATTTTCTTCTAACAGAGACATTTATTGAACGTGTTATTGTCTTAGGCTATGATTTGATTTTTTTTTCAAGATTTCCAAAACCACTACTCACGTTTTACAACTGTGATTGCTTCCACACTATTTAAGCATCTTGCCTACTTCAGAACTCATTGCTGATCCTTTCACATGTGCCTCTTCCTAATCCACCCAGGAAAGTCTTAGTAACCACTGTCCTAGCACAGGCCAAAGTAATTCCTTCACTAATTCCTACCACACTCACCGTATGCCCATGGGTGATCCAGCTGCAAAACCCATACGGAAGCTCTCCTTTCTTGAACCAATTCTGGTACCTGTTGTCATAGCTTGGGTTTTCCAGGGGGTTACTAAGGTAGTTGCTTGCATATAGATACAATATGGAGAGAACGATTCAGATATCAGGAAAGAGAGACAGGAAGGAAAACCAACACAATAATTCAGGGCTAAGGGTGACTAATACTCAATCTAGCAGGTTCCTTGTGGACAAAAGGCAGAGGTATTTAATCCACTAGCTCATGTCCCTGTTAATCAAGTGTAACCCAAAGGGGTTAACTGCTTTTCTTCTCCAGCTTGCACATGCTTGAGTGCTGGATAGCTTCCTCTGGGTACCTGGTACCATGGAGCCAGAGAAGCCCCAAGGCAGGAACTAAGAGTGTGGGATATGGATCTAAGTTGAGGCTCTCTTAGTAGCACTTTCACAAAGCTGATTGAAGTTTGCAAGCAACTGCTCACCACGAGAGTGGCTGGGATAATTGGCAGTGATAATCTGGGATAATGGGCAGTATAAATTTGCTTATGATTTACACCAGCATACCAGACGCCATTTCTTTATCACTGCCAATTATGGGAAACATCACACACTGGAGCCTGGAGGGTGGGGGACTAGGGGAGGAATGGGAGGGGGTGAAGGGCTTGGGGAGGGATAGCATTAGGAAAAATACCTAATGTAGATGATTCAGTGATGGATGCAGCAAACCACCACGGTGGCACGTGTGTAACTATGTAACGAATCTGCATGATCTGCACATGTACCCCAGGACTTAAAGTATAACACAAAAAGAAAAAGAAAAAGAAAAGAAAGGCAGCCTGAATGGGAAAAAAAATCTGCTTATGAACTTCCTAGCCTCTATTCATCCTGTTTTGTAACAGAATCTCCATTCTCTTAAGACTCCATCCATCCTCCACTTTCTGACCCCACGATTATTCTGGGGCTGAATCTATACCAAGTCCCAGGTGTGAGTTTGTGAATCTGACTTGGCCATTCATAGTCAATGAGACTTTACCATGGTACTTTTGGTGAAGCTCTCTAGAAAGATGAAATTTTCTGCTATTAAAGCTAAGAATATATATGCCTGGAGATACTGGGGATTACCAATGGAACTAGACTGCCTATGAGTGGAGGGGGAAAAACGGAAATCCAGGTGCAGAGAAGGAATCAGAAAGATTTTTAACAATATTACTTAAGTATCTGCATATAGCTGAGTCTGAAGACAATATACCTTTTTGATTTTAAACATGAACCCCTAAATTCCTTCTTGACATAAGCCTATTTGAGTATGTTGCTGAAAGCTGAAAGACACCTAACTTTTTAAGCACTTGGTAAAAGATGTTGATAATATCTATACCTCTATTCATATAATGCTATGTAAGAACATTCAGTAGACTGTAATCTAGTAAGAAAGATATGTGCCCCGATAACTTAAGTGGGGCTCCCTTAGTGTCATTGAGACAATCAGGAAGAAAAAATCAGTTATAAATACATTTTCACTAGAAAATGACATATTATGGAGTACAAAATGAATAACAGAATGAAAGCTGTCTTGATTTCAGTGGATGTTATAATTGTCCAGATTTCATTCTGGTGTGCAACCAGGATTGACAGAAGGTAAGATTTTCTGTAGGAAGAAAATGCAGAAGTAGAAAAATTGGCATTCTAGGCCTAAAAAAGTAAAAAAATTACACAGCAGAGCTGCAGGTATATAAAATGAAAGTACGTTTAAGTAAGGTTTCAATTTCAGAAGACAATGCATAATATCCTACAGAAATTCAAAGCCTGCATGAAAGGAAATGTCCAGTGGGTTGAGGCCTAGAAAAGACATGACCACATAGTCAAGTCCTCCCAAGTTAGTATTTGCTTTGGTAAAGCTGCCACTGTAAAAAGAAAGATTGTATCTTGGGTCATTTCCTTGGGATTGAGTTGCTGATTGATTGATAAAGTCAGAAGTCCAATAATGGTACATAACTAGAAATATCACAGCAATACAATTGAATGATTCGAATGTAAGATGGCAACAAAATCTGATAAACTACCACATCCATCTGATGGTTAATTTTCCTGCCAGGGTTCTACTTGTCCAAGTTTTGGGATGAAGATTGCCACTGTTTGTCTCTGTGGTCTCAATTTTATGAACTTCTAAGAATGAGCATCCCATCACCACAAAAACTTTTAATTCATACAGTCTTTGAATGTGTTCATGCATCCCATCCTATGGCTTTAGCAAGGATTTATATGTCTGTTCTCTGATACATAAGATTACTTTCTTTCCTCAAAAAAATTATTTCTCACTTCCAAGTTCATAGCTACCTGGGATGACTAAGAAGAGGGACTCATTTCCCTGTAATCTTCAAGGGCTACAATGCAACTGAAAATATCTGGATTTTATTCAATAAGATTAGGTACCTTTTGAAAGATTAATCTAATATTTAGGATAATACATGGGCATGAAAATTGTATATCCTTCAAATTCAGCTTCTTTTTTTTTCTGTACCATTTATTAGACAACCCCAAGAAAAGCTTACTTTGCCTAAGATTTTAAGAAAGAAAACTTTTCTAATAAGAATGTGATTTGATAGTTAACAAGTTGTGGATAATTTTGTGATGTTTTTATACAGTTATTGTAGGCAGCCAGTTCCTATGTGTAAATTCTTGGTCTCTTTAATGCTTATCAAATTATATCGGAGGGATAAGACCATCTCAATAGGCAATGTTGGCTCCTTTGATAAAAAAAGAAATGTAAATAAAAGGTATTTTGAGGACTTGGATGATTGAAAGCATAACATATGGCCTCATGTCTCTCCACAAGAATTTTCTTGACTAGCATTTACTGTATGAACAGGAAAGTTAGTACCTGTTAGAAAAAGAAAAAAATCCCCAGACTTTAAGCTTGCACCAGGAAGGCAAAGACAAGTGCATAATTACCTGAAAAGTGGCTTCTTATTTCCATTTTAAAGCACCATAATACAGCAGAGATTCACATTTTTGTCTGTGGAACACAGAGGTGTTAATATACAATTTAGATATTGTACTCATATCTGGCCAAAAAGTCACTTTGATTTTGTATTCTCTTGATAGTTTTGATTTTCTGTAAATTATGATGAAATTGGCTGTAAGTAGCACTGTGAATTTAGTACACAGCATTAGTTAACAAAGGACATTGTAAAAATAGATGTGGCATTGACTGAATGTGTTGATCAGAGAAAAAGATGTATGGGCAGAGAGACAGGTATAATATATACATGCATGAATACATGTTATATTTGTATGGGAACTTAAAATCCACAACTTACATTTATACAGCTATCTCATTGAAGTTTCATAATACACTCATGAGAATTTTCAACCAGATTTTAGACATTGTTACATGACATTAATAATTGATATGGATTCAGAGACAGAACAGAGCAAGAAACTCTGTTTCCCTTTTTCTCTTTCCCTAATTTTTTTCATTCCACTGGAAAAGAGGTGTTTATTAATGAAGAAATTATGCTTTGACAAGAATTGGCCAGGATTTAAGATTTTTTTTTTCAGCCTTCTGTGAATTCTTCTTGCACTTATAGTCGTAACTAATCAACTTAGAAATAAAAAAGATTTTTCATTCTCAAATTATTTTACAAAATTTTATAGATCTTGTACATTTATCTTTTATAGCACTACTCATCTCGAATTACAATTTTCTACATGTAGTAGACTTTCAGTTAGCTACACAAATCCAATTCATACTTTCTTCTTTATTTGCATTTGTTCAAGAATCATGTAGTCATGCACTTCAATTGATGTTGGGTCTCTTTCAAACACCAGAGGGTAAATTTTGACTACTGAAACACAAGTCAGTATTTCCATTGCCCTTGTTAATAATTGGTTTAGAAATGATTATCGGGCACAATTCTGACTAAAGAAAAATAAAGTAGGCCTGTCTGATGGTGTCTGGGCAATTTTTCTTACTTTAAAATTATTAAATTAAAAACCTTAAGGAAGTGATGACCCATGACTCTCCTTCTCTATTCTGGTTTTTGAAAACTATTGCATGAGGATTGTATGCATGGAGCTGCTTCAGTCATCTTGATGCTATGGAACGCACAAGTCTATGAAAAAAGACAGCACATTAAGTATGACAGAAAGAAATGATGAAAAGCAATCTGATGCATTGCTCTCACTTTTGATCTGTTGAATTTTCTTTTACTATGCATGAAGTAGAATCCAGTTTTCTGTTTCTTGTAGCCAAATGTATCATATTGAATACATCAGGTATATTTCTTTCTACCAAATTAAACTTTGACTTACTTGATGACATAGACTTCATCTGACTAATCTTCATAACTACAGTGTCCAGTACAATGCCAGATACAGAATGGGTTTTCCAATACTGCAGAATTAATGAATAATTTTCAAAATTAAATAATCATGTAAATACTGTCATTCTTTAATCAATTTTAGGCAAATAACTAACAACCAGAACTTTAATTGTAGAAGATTTTCAAGGGGCAGAAATTCTGAGAGTATTTGCTCCATAACATCAACAATAAACTTTTTCTAGTGCACAGTAATTAAGGTATATTGAATTAATCTAGAAGTCACCAGAGGCCTTTGTCTTTAAGACAGGGTACCATTCATTTAAATAGTAATTTCTGTTGTGCTATTCTTTTAAATGCCTATGAATATGGATCATCAGCTAGCATAAGGGCATCACTTTGTTCTCTAGACTCTAACTTCTATAGGGGAGCTCCTGAAATGAGAATGACATCGAGAGCAGAAACTAAGAGTTTCTAAGTAAACTAAGCAGAAAACAAGCGAGTACACAGATGGCTTTTTTTTTTTTTCAAAACCCAAAAATGATTGATAACTAAATGGAAGTATTTGGAAGTTTCATCCTAAAGTTGAAAACAGCATTTAAAACAAAAAGGGATTCAATTTTCCACATGGTCAGGGGGCACTGTCTCAGCTTGAGAGGACGCCCTGCCAGACCTTCTTCTCTTTCTGTGCCACAGAATATCATAATGGGGGCTGATTTTTCCCTTTAAACTTTTATTCCTTTGAGCTGTCAAAGCAGTTTTGTCAATCTTCTTGAATATATCATCCATTATAATTCCATTTAAAATACATATAAAAATAAAACGTGTCTACTTGCCAGAAAAATTTAATTTGTTACAGTTTTTTAATGAAAGAAAATTGTCTCCCACAGAAGGCATATTTTGCATGTATTTTATCCCTCAAATTGTGCTAATTTTTCATATGTCATTTATAGTTTTCATCCCAGCTTATCTTTTTCACTTGTTTTGAACTGGGTTGTTAATCAAAAATGTGCATCAATTTCCTGCAATTCATTCACAGACTAAATCCTACAGTGACTTTAATGTGCAAATTACCATAAGCAACAGAAACTAGCATTAACTATTGTAAGCCTAGACAGTTCATTGACAGGTAGGTTCGTAGGTAGATAGGTAGGTAGATAGATAGATAGATAGATAGATAGATAGATAGATAGATAATAGATAAAATAGATAAATAGGTAAAAGCATTTATTGGAAGAATATGGGAATCAAGGGAAACCTAAATAGCTTGTCTCAGAAAGAACAAGAGCCAAGGTACTCAAGTATCTAGGTAAGCAGAATTAATGCTCTGTGACTTCAAGGCATAATGAAAGGAATGAATTAATTCCAAACATGTTTTGTAGTTGAGTCATCTCACTCAGGATTAAAAATTTCAGAGAGACAGTTTGGCCTTAAACTAGGAAGAGCCTGGCTATTTTTGGTCTATTACATTTCCAAGACAGCCTGAAATGTAGAAGGGTTCGTTCTCCAAAGCAAAAACTATAGAGCTATTACAAAAAAAAAAAAAAAAAAAAAAAAANAAAAAAAAAAAAAAACACCTCAAAAAGGAACAAAGGAGGTTGATCAAGCCTAATGATAATGAGATTTTTTATCTTATCACCAGACTTCCTGGTTTTGAATCTCAGCTCAGTTTATAACCTAATCTTGTCCTCATTTGTTAATATCTGCTCACCAGTCTTCTGACTTTTGATTTTGCTTCCTACAGGATTGCACTTCACTCTCTCTACTGTTTATATTTGCTATTTGGGATAAATATTTTACTGAACCTGGCCCAACAACTGGAGTCCTCTCTTCCTGCACTGGAACATAGCTTTCCCCAGCTAAATGAAAAAGGCCCAGGGAAAATGGTATTTTTATACTCATCCTTTCATCAAATGTGTTAGGTATTTGGTTAGGGGTGATAGTAGATGGAGAGGAGGCACAAAGGTGAGCCAGGTAAGAGAAACAACATTTCAACCCTCATGGAAATCACACTTGAGAGGTGCAGAGAGACATTGACTCCTGGAAGTGAATGATAACTACAACTGTGAGTGGTGGGTACTAGGTATAGATCCACAGACCTATTAGAGGGAGGATATGACTGCATTTATAAGGCCAGGGGAGAGTCCCTTGAAGAAGGGACGATTATACTGGAATCCAAGCAAAAATAATAGAAATGAAACAGGTAAAAGTTAGTGGAAAACGAGAACATGCCAAGCAGAAGTGCAGGGTTTGCTAAAATCTTGAGGTGCAATGGAAACTAACCTGCTCGGGGTAAAAAAAGAAAGCCAGGAGGGTGATGGGCAGTTACCATTGAGGGAGGTAGCCTGGGAATTGTGAATTTGTTTTGGATGGATATGAAATGATGTTGAAAAACTAGGCAGGTGCCAAACAATTCAAGGTTTTATAAGCCATGTTAAGGATTTGATCTTGGATATATCCAAAGAGCAATGAAAAGCCAAAGAGTGTTTTAAGCAGGATCAAATCTGCATAAAAAAAAAAAAAAAAAAAAAAACCTTCCATCCACATAGTAGAAAATGTTTTGGAGAATGGCCAGAACGGGTGTAGGAGCTCCAAACATAAAGCTATGGCAGGAGTCCAGGCTGTGATGATGATCATCTGGTTTAGGATGATTGAAATGGAGATGTGGAAAGAGTACAGACTTGAAAAAAAATTAGGAGTTAAAATTGTCAGGATTTTCATGTTGGCTATGGTGAGGGAAGAAGAGAAGGAGGGAGAAGGAGATGTCAGTGTTTCCTTCTTGTTACTAGAGTTCATAGAATATCACATGATGTGATATTCACTGAGAGAGGACACAGATTTGGTGGGATTGGAAGGGGGTTGATAATTTGGGATATATTAATTTTGAGATGTCTTTCAGACATACACAGGAAGATATTAAGTGGGCAATTGGGTATGTGTTTCTGTAGCTCAGAAGAGAGATCTCAATGGGAGATAATATGAAAGTCATCTGAAGACAGAGAAGTAAATTCAACACAATCTCATCATTTCCTTATGCCAATCCCATTTGAAGAGGTCTAAAAGTAAAGAGTCTTCAGAGCCCTACTTTGTAATCTGACCATGACTCCTATAAAAGAGGCAGGGTAGCATAATGATAAGATGGCAGCTTTTCCTGCCAGAAGATTTGGGTTTAAGTCTCAAGGATATCTCTTGAATAATTGTGTGATTTTCAGCAAATCATTTCCTCACTCAGACATTGTTTCCTTCTCTATAATATAGCAGTAATAAAATCTCCCCCGATTGCTGTTGCAAAGAATAATGTGATGATATCGATGACAAGGGTATATAAAAGCACTTTGTAAACTGCCACAAACACTTGTCTTATTTTATTACCAAACCCCTATAATTATACACGTATGTTCAGTCTACTCAGAGATTAACAAATGTCATTAAGTAAGCACAGGCTTTTGAGGACTCTCAGACTGAGAAGACATGTGAGACTATTATTGGTTAGCTGTTTGAGAGATGCATTTAAAAAAAAAAAATCCAACCTCAATTCACTTTCATCAGATGGGCTTCTGAATCATAACTTCGTTCTTGCTAATTAATTATTATGAAAGATACAGAAAAGACTTTACCAATGTGGAAATTCAGTTGTTATAGAAAAATGTTTTATTTAGTTTCTTATCTTGTCTTGAAAGGCCAAGCATTAAAATGAGCTGTGAATGCTTTCCTTTAAAGACAAACCTCTATTTTACTGTTTTCATCTCTAAATATAAGAAGTAACATCTCTCCAAATGCAAGATGTGGAGATACTCTCCCTGGGGAAATGGGACATAGCCCTCAGGAGTCTATGAAGCAGCTGCAAATCAAAACCATAGGAAACACCTTTAAGGGGCATTGTATCAATGTCCTGAAAATGTCTGAAAGCCTGCTTTATGATTTGGGGAAAATCATCAGAGACACTAGTAGAATCAAAGAAGATGGAAGAAAATGTCACTTAACCTTTACAGATGTGTTACAGAACACCAAAGAAATTACTAGTCATAAGCCACATTTTAATAGTGAAATGGATATCACAGCTCTGAAACAATCTTAAAAAGCAAAATTAGCAAAGAAAATTTTTGCTCAAATACTTCTCATGTGTCACAATATTCTTTTACTAAAGCTATATTAAACTTTATAAATTAAATTTAGATTTCTCCATAATGTAGCTAAGACTATTTTTATCTCCATGTAAATAGTAACAAAAGTATCAAAGTATAGAAAGAATTAATGTTTTTATTTTATACTATTATTAAGTTTTAATAAGCTTACCAAAATGTATAATGATATTTTATTAGAATCCCCTGTCTAGTGAGGGTCAATTATTATACTTTATATTAGGCTCAATTTCAGATAGCACCTAATTAGGAGTTATATGTACTGCTAAATTTTTTTTAAAGAAGACTGAAATGTTGATAATTTTCATTTATTTTACACCGTTAAAAATTAAAGTTACCTTAACCAAGAGATCAAAGTTAAAGTAACCAGAATGAGGCATGTTGACTTCATGTACCTCCTAATATGATGTGCCAGGAAAGACACAACATTCACACCGGGGATATTCTGGCCAGCAATACCTCAATCAAATCACAGCAATTCTCAAACAAAGCCAAATGGAGAAAAACTCTAAAAAATAACTGGCCAGTACTCTTGAAAGATAAAGTGACATAAAGACAAAGAAAGATTAAGAAATTCTTTTTATTGTATGTGCTTAAGGAGACATGAAACTTACAGCAATATAAGATCCTTAATTGGATACTGGACTAGAAAGAGGATATGAATGGGACAATTAGAACATTGTGAGTAGAATCTGAAAAATCAGTTAATAGTATTGGATAAATTAATGATCTGATTTTGATAAATTGTACTGTGTCTGTGTAAGACAACATTTGGAGAAGTAAAGTGTATATGGGAAATCAACATATTATGTTTGCAACTTCTTTGTTTTCCTTTTGTAAATTTAAACTTATTTCAAATTTAGAATTTTTTAAGTTATGCTTTTTGTAAGAAGTACAGCTTACGTTTTATGGGTATATGGTGTAAAATTGTTAAAGAATATTAACTATTTTAGAAGTTATTTTGTTTCATTCAATCACTTCAATAATTCATTGTCTGGAATAATATTATATGATTTATTTATTGTAGACTGACTTTTATTGTGAGTTCATTTCTCTGTTAGATTTTTATATTTTTATATAAAAATTCCTTAAAGTATCTGAAATATGGCATTGTTCTTTATAGTAGTCATTCTAATACAGTTGTTCACATTAGATAATGAAGTTATCTATTCTTAATAAAAAGCATAGATTTATTTTCATAAAAGAAAAAAGATATTTTAGAAACAATCACAAAAACTCATGACATATGCATCTGAAGATACATAGTTATCAAAGAGCACAAGGAGCTATGTGACTTGCTGTATGTCACCCAGTTGGTAAAAAATGGCAGAGTTCCAAGTCAAATTTATGACCACAACCTCCAAATTCATCACATTTTCTAATATGCTACTGAGGCTACTTTAAAATATTTTCTTTAACAAAGCCCTCACTCCTGACCTTAAGAAATTTAGTGAAGCTCTATCATATGGCTTAATTAATCCCACTCTAGCCACAATTCACATTCTATTAATATTTTGTCAGAAATCTCTATGTACGCCCTTGACTGACCTTTAGAGTAAAGGGAGGGTAGAGCTTCAAAGGTTGAGATTCCAAAGATCTTTTTTCATAACTCTGTTATGAAGTAATATATCAGGCTGATTTTATAAAAATCAGAGGAAACAGAAGAGCCAAAAAAGGGTTAGTAGTGGTAGATGCCACCTCTACCCAAGGGCAAGCATAGGGACTTCCGGAACTGTGCCACATGTGGTGTTTCCTCCACTCTTTCTGTTCACTTTTCCTTCCTTCCTGTCCCCTGTACCTAGTGGCCACAACAAAGCTCTAGCCTGGCATTTCCAGAGCTTCTTATTTCAAAACTGTTGCTTTCTAAAGTGACTTACTAAATACAACCATGGAACCATGATTATTTCAATGCATAATGTAGAATCTAAGGTAACAATAGTATTACTGGACATTCCCTGCGCTGTCTCTGTACACAGACTCCACAACCAAAGTTCCTTTGCGTCATTCAATCATTTACCCACATAGCTCAAGTCCAAAGTATTTCATTATTCCTCAATGATCCAAACATGTAATTTCAATCATTAGATCCAAGATTATATTTTTAAATAGCAAGAAGGGATCCATTCTTTTAAGGCTGCTTCTGATTCATGATGTGAGTGACAGCCAGTCAGTTAAATATTGCTTTCTGCATCTGTAAAATAAAAATGTAAATGCTGGTATTTTCCAGTTGGATCAAGTGGCACCAACATCTTATGATGTTCTGTTTTCAAGACTGAAGTTGCCCCTTGAGGTAAGTAGGATACGCAGAATGACAGCTGGTGATCCAGATGAAAACTGCAGATGATTATGACCCTTCCTGCTGTATTCTTCAAAAATTCGATTGCCTTGGTTTCCTGGATTTATATGCAAACAGACTTTATATCGGCATTCAAAATTCTGACTTCTCTTAAAAATCAGGAAAAGTTTGGATGCACATTGCATACATCAGTACTCACAGGGGTTCAAGGTGGAGCTGCCACCTCTCTTCTGGCCATCTGATTTCCAGGCCACATTGCTCATTGTCGTCTTCCATCTGGACCATTTCACTGATTTTCATTGCCTGGCTAACTCATATAGCCATTTAATTTTGTGACCCTGTTTTAGAAATATAGATTAACATCAGCTTATCAAAAACATTAAAAACCTCATTTAACATTAATTGATGAATACCGGGAGTAGTTTTTGTGAGAGAAAACTACACATTAACACAGAAATAGAGACATATGCACATGCAAATTTAAGCCGAATAATACATGATATAAAAATAAAATATGTTAATATATTCTGGAGCCATGTTACATTTGCCACCTTAAGTTGAATGTTATTTTCATTTTAAATAAATGCATAATGTAAAAGTAATAAAAGACTCATATATTTAAAATTTGTTTGTGTAGAATATTAATGAACTCCATAAAATGTAAAATAATACAAAGGACTCTGAATATTTTGGAAGCTTTGTTTTTTTAACAGAAAAATGTGTTTATTTATTCTTAAGTTTAAAATAATTCTACTAATTAACATTTTTTAATCTGAAAAGATTATTTAGACAGTTGCAGTTAAAAAATGACAAAAATTATCAGGACTACAGATCTCTGTTATTGTATTCTGTGGACGTTCTCATAGTAAAATAGGTTTAAAAACAGATTAATTGTGTGCTTCCACTTCAAGATAAATGGACTGGTGCGTGTTACTATGGCAACTACATACAATTCGAACTATCAACTTTCTTACTACTGGAAAAAAATCAATAATGACATACATTACTTAAGATAACATATAGCTTTGGAAGTTATTTATTTACCCAATATTATTACAAAAACTGCTTTACTATGAAAAGTCAAAGGCAGATGCTTTTTAAAAATGAATATGCCAAAGCTGAATCAAGTATTAGCAAAACCAGCCACATTCTCCTCTACTAAGTGGCTCCAACACATGTCTAAACTAATTATGTGTAAAATATAATCCACTCTGACCAATCATCCCTGCTGTAATTGTGCATGTTATGCTCATAAAAACATACCACTAACCTTTGCAATATCCTTTAAAATTAAAACAGCAGTTAACTTTCTTTCAGTTCAACTAAATACTTATAGCCTGAATTTTCCAGAATTGGGTTAGCATACTGAAACCTAAATCAATGAGGTTGCTTTCTTGGAAAAGCTGTCAAATTAAATGTTATATATTTTTTTGGGTTTATCTAAACAATTTCTTGATCCACATTATACCGTAACAGATTTGATTCTTGTGGATTTTGGTTTTGTCTCTATAATTTTTCTCTCATAGGTTCAAATGCTTTGTTTACGACTGTTTAAACTTCAGCTTTATTGTTACAGCTGTAAGAGAAGCAGGAAAGATATGCCCAGTTCTAAGGAGTAAGAACATTCTCATCTTCAAATTAGTATTACTCTATTCTGTTGTTATGCCCTGAACACACAGGCTAAGGCCTCAGTGTCCCTTAAGGGTTGGCTTTGTTTTAAAAGAAAATGGTGTGATTGAAAAATATTTCCTGCTTTTCATTCTAACCTTATTCACTTTATCAATCAGAAAGATGTTGGGATTTTTTTGGATATATGTTAAAAAAAAAAAAAAAAAACTACAGTCTAAACACTGACTAATACCCTTTTCCTCTCTTCCCCAAACACAGATAATTGAAAATGAAATACAATTATATTATTTGGCTTCTCCCTTTTTTTTCTCACTCTCGTTTTTGCCCTGTAGCTGCAGGACTGAAATAAAAATAAATACATGCTATCTAGTAGCCAGAAGGGTTCCTGGCTTTATCCTTTACATTGAAAATGGGTCTCATGCTTTAGAAGTAAAAAGAATGTATTATACTTTCATCCCAATATTCTTGTCCCACTCATTAAACAGAAGAGTCAGAAATTTGGCTTGAGGTATCAAAAATTTTACTCTTAATGCAGCCTAAAACAAGTAAAGCACAAGACATAACAGTAAAGCAGCAAAATGTTTTATAACCCTCTGAGTACTCAGCTCTGAAAGAGCCATGGATATCTGTATTATTTTTTCTTATAGATGACGGTAATATAAAAGAAAACAATTCTTATTGAATCTCATTGTATCCAATTTGTTGGATAATTGCATTTACTTGAATGCATCTGGATTCCCTTCAAATAAAAACACTGCTAGACTGGGCCATTAGAGATTGAAGAAACTGACCTATGATGAATCCCAGTTTAAAGCGTATCCTTGTTCTTTCATTCACCACCATTGACTTCACGATCACCTGAATTTCCATCTTGCCCTTGTAATCCCCCGTCCCTTCATTATTCATCATCCTTTGTCTTACTGCATCTTCAAAGGAAAAGAATAAAAGTAATTCTGGGCCAACTTGGATATCCTTCAAAAATGGTTCCTGCTACATTAAATATCATTCCACAAATGAGTACGTCAACAATAACTATATCTAATTTTGAAATTGAATTCTGAGTGGTTATGTGCTTGTTTCCACTTCTTCATATTGGACTTTCACTCTACTGAATTTGTCCTCACCAAATCAAGTCAAGCAGTGTTCAGCTGGACCTTCGCCTCACCATGCAATTCTGATCCACTAATGGCAGCTTATAGCAGATAACAATACTCAAAACAACGGCAGCACCGTGCATGTATACCCTTCTTCACAATATTCAAAACATTTCCTTAAACAGTTAGTGCTTCTCTATTTCCTGACAGATTTTGAATGCTTACCAGTGTACAGTCACTCTTGCAAGCAGTGTAATACTGTTTAGTGCATTCTTGCTGAAGCAGCATACCTCACTGCATGTGTTTTCCCACACTGAGGAGTGCAGAATCTGATCATTCTTGTTCAACAGGGTAACCTATGTTACATTAAGTTAGCCCATCATTTTCCACATGGGACTACTCTTTCTCTGAGTAGTTGGCTGATTTGCCTTGGGTAACATAGCTATTGCAAGACAAAGCTCACCCTTAATCTAAGTATTCTAACTGATCTTTCCTTTAGGTCACTAGAATGCCCAGCATTCATTTGAGGAGTGGTTTTTCAAAGGTGGCAAATGTTTCCATTTGTTTTGATCTGTGTATTCTAGATAGAAACCGCTATCCTGATTTTTAAAGTAGCCTTCAAAAGATAATAAACTGCATTAAGATGGCCAAAGCCAGCCGGGTGCAGTGGCTCACACCTGTGGTCCCAGCACTTTGGGAGGTAGAGGCAAGTGGATCATGAGCTCAGGAGTTCAAGACCAGCCTGGCCAAGAGGGTGAAACCCCATCTCTACTAAAAATACAAAAATAGCCAGGTACGGTGGTGGGTGCCTGTAATCCCAGCTACTCCGGAGGCTGAGGCAGAGAATTGCTTGAACCTGGGAGGCAGAGTTTGCAGTGAGCCGAGATTGCACCACTGTACTCCAGCCTGGGTGATGGAGTGAAAATCTGCCTCAAAAAAAAAATAATAAAAAATAAAAAAAAGGGCAAAGTCTATAAAATGACCTCATCTGGTGACATGTAAATATAAAATTCTTTCTAGTGTGATTTGTGTTTTAATTATCATTTTGTGCTCCCAAAAGGAATTTAAATCTCATGATATTTTCCATTCATGAACTATGCATCTCTAAGCTAGATATATAATCACTCTTAAAGCAAATCACTTTGTATTACAGTTTATCTAAAGCTGTAAATATGACAATCATCTTCCTATTTTGGGCGGATTTGGAGAAAAGCCCACCCAATATAGCTTGGGATGCTTAACTCTCTTATTCAGAATCATAAAAAAATGAGACATGATGCCCAAATTATAATATGTAGAGGACTTTCTTTTTTTTTGTCTCTGAGAATGCTAGTTTTTAATTCCCCTTCTAGAGATGGAAATCTCAAAACTTTAAAAATATTGAACACTTTTATTCTAATAAACAAAATAAATCACAACAAAATATGTACATGTAATAGCTATTTGCTTACTTTACACAGAGTATCTTTTCATCTAATCTCTTCAGTTAGTAAATGAGGGCCTTATTTAATGTTACTTAATAGCACCTGGATGATATTTAGTAGAATTTCTTCACTTTACAGCTAAGAGATAATATCTTCCACAGGAAAAAATTAACAATTTAAATTAACTCATAAAAATGCATTCCCTTAAAACTATTTCTAATTAGATACCCCTAACCACCTCTCTTATCCATCATCTCTCTCTTCTTTCCCTCTACTTTCAGTCTCTTATTCTCTCATTTTCTCTTACACACACACACACACACACACACACACACACACACACAAATATATTTTTTCTAGAAAAATAATATTGTATAATAATCTTTCAAAATCCTTCAAAAATAATCTATGGTTTCAAAAGTAGTGATTGTTTTATAACTGGATTTTATAGGCAAGAATTCAGCCAAATCAAGTATTATGACATAAAACGACTTATTTCCATCTGTAACCCAATGTCAATAAGAAGTTTTCTTTGTAAAATAGTTGCAAAAGATACTCATTTGTAGCTAATTACCAGCTGTATTTCAGGCTTTTCCATGTAAAAGGAGAAAAACTAAACTGAATTTTACACCTTCAATAACTGACAGCAGATTCCTGAGAAATAAATGGTATTAAAAATTATCCAGACCTAAAATCTTGATTATTAAGACACCGTGAAAGTTGAACTTCTGAAAATAACACACTATTAAGTTCAAAAATTAAGGTGGCCAATTTATATTTGACTTTTTTGAGAAATTACTATTATAGAGAAATATTTAAATTAAGCTTCTTCTCTTACTCTCCCCACATTTTCTTTCCTTTTTCAAACCAGTGACCCATAAGCTAGTTTACTTATCTCAAATACTGTATTTTAAAAAGAAGGGCTTGGTGCTAATGCAGTGATTCTTTTTTCTTCAATTATCTTTTATTACATATTTATCAAGTTTAATTTTCTTGCATTGATTGAACATTTTTTTAGCATTCAACATTTCAAAACATTACACTAACAAAAATGCTTTATGTGTTAGGTATCCAGAAACCTGTTTGAATCATACAATATAAACAGATGAGAAAATCTAAAACCGGCTATCCAAATATAACAACTTCCAGCTGTATAATGGCAATTCAATAATTCAATCTTACGTCAAAAATTAATTTGGTATTTCTTTAGAACAAGTCTGATGATCCATTGCAAACTGAACATTTGCTTTGAGAAAGCTCTTTTTTATTCTTTTAAAGAGTTCAAAGATCTTATGGAAGTAAATCTAGGAATACTAATTCACAGGAAAGGCAAAAAAATAACGACATGAATATGCTTAATATTTTTGAAGTAGATGAATGGCCACAATTTATCAGTCTCTGAACTTGAACCTCAAGCTTTTAATTTCAGAGAGGACACTTGCATACTTCTAAATATGCATCTTCATTGGAAATTAGTTTCTCCTTTTTCTCCTTGGACCTCAGTTTCTCAATCTTAGCACTAATGAAATTGAGGACCAGGTAAGTCTTTGTCGTAGGGGCCATCCTGTGCATTGTGGGATGGTTAGTAGCCCCACGGGTTTCTAGATGCCAGCACCACCTCCCAGTCACACTTTTGACAACTAACAGTATCTCCAGACTACCAATGTTCCATGGCAAAGGAGGCAAATTAGAAATTAGCAGCTGGTAAAAAAAAAAAAAAAAAAAAAAAAAAAAAGAAAAAAAAAAAAAAAAAAAAAAAAAAAAACTGAACTAAGGGGTTTAAAATTAAAAGCTCTTTAAAAATTGAAAAAAAGGTCAGGCACATTGGCTCATGTCTACAATTCCAGCACTTTGGGAGTCTAAGGCAGGTAAATCATGAGGTCAGGAGTTCAAGACCAGCCTGGACAACATGGTGAAACCCTGTCTCTACTAAAAATACAAAAAAATTACCTGGGGGTGGTGGCAGGTGCCTCTAATCTCAGCTACTAGGGAGGCTGAGGTAGGAAAATCACTTGAACCTGGGAGGTTGAGGTTGCAGTGAACCCAGATCTCACCACTGTCCTCCAGCTCAGGCGACGGTGTGAGACTTTGTCTCAAAAAATAAAATAAAATAAATAAAATGAAACCTAGGCCAGGTTCAGTGGCTCACACCTATAGTCCCAACACTACTACAGAGGCTGAAGTGGTAGGTTCAAGACCAGTCTGGGGAATATAACAAGACTCCATGTCTACAAAAATATAAATGAAAATAAAAAAATAAAATCTAGTGTATATGTTCATTCTCACACTGCTATAAAGTGACTACTTGAGACTGGGTAATTTATAAAGAAAAGAGGTTTAATTTATCACAGTTCTGCGTGGCTGAAGTGGTCTCAGGAAACTTACAATCATGGCAGAAGGCAAAGAGGAAGGCATGTCTTATATGGTGTCAGGACAGAGAGAGAAAAAGAGCGAGGAAGAGCCACACTTAAAACCATTGCTCCCATGAGAACTCTCTCACTGTCTTCAGAACAGCATGGAAAAATCTGCCCCCATGATCCAATCACTAGGTCCCTCCCTGGGCATGTGGGATTACAATTCGTGATGAGATTTGGGTGGGGAAACAGAGCCAAACCGTATCAGCTAGAAATTATATTTATAATGTATGCTTTATTTTGGCTTCGCCCAGCAGCTGACCATGCGGTAAGGATTTGAGTGCAAGTAGTTCATTTTGAAGGTACTCCCAAGAAGCACCAGTAGAGAACAGAGAAAATGAGACAGAGAAGTAAAGAAGCCAGCAGAGGTTAATTAATGAATGGATGACTGCTACATGCCACGGTAGCTTGATCTTGTCAGAAACCTTGGGGTTGGGGTGCTATGAAGAATGTGCCTCCCTTTTGTATCACCTGAGAGGTGAGGGATATGAAGTATTCATTCACCAAATCCCTTCCCTCATTGCTGACAATTACTCTGGAGGGCATTTATTCCCTGGCATTTCATTCCTAGTTGATGGGGGGTCATACATGTGACCGGAGAAAACCCTCAAGGAAAGTGACAGATGTTTGTTAAAGGAAACTTGTGGTGTCTGCAGCAATGGTTCTTGAAGTATGGTCCCTGGACCAGCAGCGTAAGTATCACTTGATAATTTATTGGAAATGCAATTCTCACGCAGCACCTTTGACTTATGAGAACTTCAATGCTGTTTTAACAAGCCCTCCAGGTAATGCTGATACACATTTGTGTGTAGATCTTTGGCCTAGCATGCTCCAACAGGGGCAATTTTGTTCTCCGTGAATATTTGGCAATGTCTGGAGACCTCGCTGGTTTCTATAAGTGGAGGGTGGGGGGGCAGGGGTACTGTGCTACTAGTATCTAGTAGGTAGAGACCAGGGATGATGCTAAATGTCCTGCAATATACAGGACAG